ATGGATGGCCTACAGTTGTCCTGCATCACCCACCTGCACCCACACCACCGATAATTTTATTTCTCGTAGACTTGAAGGCAGCAGCAACTTCTCGCACGACCTCCCGCCACGACCGCAGTGCCAATACTGTGTGGTTACTTCCTGGACCTGCGGAGGAAGAGGAGGCATGAGAGGGGGGGAAGTGGAGTTATGAGCGGGGGAAATGGAGGCATGAACGGGAGGAAATGGAGTTATGAGGGGGGGGGGGGTTATGAGCAGGAGGAATGGAGGCATAGCGGGGGAAATGGAGGCATGAGAAGGGGGAAATGGAGTTACGAGCGGGGGGAGGAGTGGGGTTATGAGCGGGGAAATGGAGTTATGAGCGGGGGGAGGGGGGTTATGAGCGGGAAGGGGAAATGTAGGCATGGGCGGGAGGATATGTAGGCATGGGCGGGGGAATGCAGGTATGGGCGGGGGAAATAGAGGCATGAGCAGGGGGAAATGGAGGCATGAGGGGGGGAAATGGAGTTATGAGCGGGGGGAAATGGAGTTATGAGCGGGGGGGGGTTATGAGCAGGAGAAATGGAGGCATGAGCGGGGGGAAATGGAGGCATGAGAGGGGGGAAATGGAGTTACGAGCGGGGGGAGGAGTGGGTTATGAGGGGGGGAGTGGGTTATGAGCGGGGGGAGTGGGGTTTATGAGCGGGGGAAACGAAGGCATGAGCGGGAATGGAAACATGGTTGTGAGAGAAGTTTTGTGAGAATGAGAGAGACTCACAAAGAGATAAACGAGCACACACACACAGAGAGAGAGAGAGAGAGAGAGAGAGAGAGAGAGACAGACAGACAGACAGACAGACAGACTCATTAACAGGATAAACGAGCACACAGAGAGAAAAGAGAGAGAGAGAGAAAAGAGAGAGAGAGAGAGAGAGAGAGAGAGAGAGAGAGAAGAGAGAGAGAAGAGAAAAGAGAACAGAGAGACAGAGAGACAGAGAGACAGAGAGACAGAGAGACAGAGAGAGAGAGAGAGAGACAGACAGACAGACTCACTAACAGGATAAACGAGCACACACAGAGAGAGAGAGAGAGAGAGAGAGAGAGAGAGAGAGAGAGAGAGAGAGAGAGAGAGAGAGAGAGAGAGAGAGAGAGAGATAGAGAGATAGAGAGAGAGAGAGAGAGAGAGAGAGAGACTCACTACCAGGATAAACGAGCACAGAGAGAGAGAGATAAAATAGAGCGGACACACGACACAAGACAGGATGCTGTCTTACTAAACACCAACACAATCTGCTCACTCTGTGTCTATAACAAAAATAACATTACTCACGCAGCAAAAATTCCCATACAACGTTAAACTGTTTACTTGTAACAACTTATAATGTGGAGGCATTGTGGGTACAATGAAGAACACAATGTTGATGTTTCATGAGAGGAATGTTTGGTACGTTAATGTTTAGTGACTGAATGTTGGCACTTGTTGGATATGTCAGTTAGGATGTACTAAGGAGTATGATAAGATAAAATCGTTTATCTGTGTTGTTGGCTGGCTGACACTCTGTAGTTTGTTGGGTTGTATCCTCAGCTGGTTGTGTCCTCTGCTCACACCAGGAGCGGCTGGTTGTGTCCTTAGCTCACACCAGGAGCTGCTGGTTGTGTCCTCAGCTCACACCAGGAGCTGCTGGTTGTGTCCTCAGCTCACACCAGGAGCTGTTGGTTGTGTCCTCAGCTCACACCAGGAGTTGCTGGTTGTGTCCTCAGCTCACACCAGGAGCGGCTGGTTGTGCCCTCAGCTCACACCAGGAGCTGCTGGTTGTGTCCTCAGCTCACACCAGGAGCTGCTGGTTGTGTCCTCAGCTCACACCAGGAGCTGCTGGTTGTGTCCTCAGCTCACATCAGGAGCGGCTGGTTGTGCCCTCATCTCAAAAAATCAACTAAACCGGTTGTGTTCTCAGTTCACATCAAGAACAACGTCTTATAAATTTCCACATAAATGTAAAGATTTTGAAAAGTCTCACCTCTACAAGAGAGAAAACCATATCCTGAGTGTAGATAGACTTTGTGTTTCACAGGCAGGTCACACTCTTTGACCGCCTTACCCTCTTCTTCTCTACCGTCGCCGTCTTCCTTGTTCCTCCCTTCCTCGGCTTCTCTTCGCCTTCTTTCCTTTCTTTCGACTTGATCTATGCCTCGTCTCTTCCTTCTCCCGTGGCTCTCTCCCGTCTCCTTGCTTCTTGGCTGGTCGTGTTCTTTGTTATTTTCCGTCCTGCCATCAGAGTGTGTTTCATAACGTTTAATTCTTTCATCTTCGTTATCTTCTCTTGTTTCCTCTTCGCCACCACCTCCATCTTGACTTCCACTCTCGCCAACAACAACACCGTTGACTTCTTCACTCTCGTCAACAACATCGTCGAACACCTTGAAAAAGGCCAGTTTGATGGTGTTCTCTTCTTTCTTGACGACGGTAGCTCGGTAGAGTGCCCCGGCCGGCAGGCTGCAAGAATGTTCCCCCTTCTTAGACACCAGCTTTGGCTTCTCGAAGCCGTAGATGTCAAGCTCAACGAAGAACCCGTTGACGGCTGTCAAGCGATAAAGGTCCAGTGACCGGCTGATATTCTCTTTAGAGTATCTGCTGCATCCTAGGGACAAAGGAAAACACAGAGATAATCTCTCATCACAATACACCCTCAATTTCCGCTTTAATCTATGGTCCGAGTGGTACGATTTTTTCCCGCATGCTAAAACTAAATATTTAACATTTTAGGTTAAATTAGGTTACTATAATTTAACAATTATTTACGTAGAGTTAACTGGCGATAACATAAATCTTACTTCACAAACCTTTAACCTTATTAAAAAAGGCACCAACTTCATCCCAATTAGCAATACATGTCTTCGAGCTTTTTCTGTGTCTTATAATTCATCCTCAACATGCAATCAACATAAGAACATAAGAAAGGAGGAACACTGCAGCAGGCCTACTGGCCCATACTTGGGAGGTCATTGTCAAACCCAAATATTCACCAAACCCATTATCATTATTACCCAAGGAAAAAGCTTTCATACCTCTATTAACTCAAGTGCAAGTCCCACTCAATTCCAATTTTCCCCACACTGTTTTTTCCTTGCTATGCAATTTTAATATAATTTGACGAAGCTAATTTTTAAACTGTTTTGGTTATACATTTTTGAACATATCTAAAGGTTCCTTCTGTGCTTACCATCTAGGTAGAAACGTTGCCAGAGTTTTGGTGCGTCCTGGGAGAGGGACTGAGCGAGTGTGACCCCAGTCCACACGCCCACAGCCACCACCGCCCACGGTAGGTGACCCCAGCCACGGGAAGCGGAAACAGACATCTTGGGCGATAACACCAGCACGCTAAATGAAGGCGTCTCAGCTCTCCGTCATTGTCGGAGACTAAATGAACATTAATAGTAGAAGATTGTACAATTGTAGCCTAAAGGATTAGTGGAGCAGTCGAGCCAAGAAGACTGGTTGTTTCAGCAACACTGGTTGTTCCAGCAACACTGGTTGCTCCAGCAACACTGGTTGTTCCAGCAACACTGGTTGTTCCAGCAACACTGGTTGCTCCAGCAACACTGGTTGTTCAGCAACACTGGTTGCTCCAGCTACAACGGTTGTTCCAGTAGTACTGGCTACTCCAGCAACACCAGCAATGCTCACTACACTCGAGCAACCCTTCATATTCTTGTGGCACTCATTCAAGATCACCAGTCTGCGAAATCCATAATATTATTCTTGTTATTCACCCTTTATTTCTCAGAGTCGCATGCATTTACCTCTTGAATAGTGAAATACAGTCATAGAAACACACTACAGGAGCACTGCAGCAGACACCACCTTCAGAGTGAGCACAGAGAACCTCTTTAGAACACACACAAGGTAGAGGACCTCTACTAACACACACGATATTCGAAAGTCAATTAATATCGCAGCATCATCTGGTTCAACTCCTCGTTAACTTTTGATAGCTCCTTGGCTGGTCCGTAGATGGCGTAGCGTGTGTTTGCGTGCGTGTGATGCGTAGCTTTCACAAGGACTGAAGACTATCTAACGTAGAAGCCTACAGGGGACCTAGCTTAAACCGGACACGCTTATATCACCGGCCACAAAAAAAAAAAAAAAACTGGTGCACTATCTTCTCATATTGCGGTTTATTTGCGAATTATGTTGACCACAGTAGTAAAGACAAGTTGTGAATTGTTCACGACCTTCTCTGTCATCACTGTTCACTATTCATTGAGAGAATATCATACTCTTACAGCCTATATTTCATTGTTGGACAAGTGGCTTATGAGTCTTCAACAGTGTTAATGAATACACTCTGAACTTATCTCTGTCTACTACCCCTACTGTCTACTACCTCTACTGTCTACTACCCCTACTGTCTACTACCCCTACTGTCTACTACCTCTACTGTCTACTACCTCTACTGTCTACTACCCCTACTGTCTACTACCTCTACTGTCTACTACCTCTACTGTCTACTACCCCTACTGTCTACTACCTCTACCCTCTACTGCCCCTACCGTCTACTATTTCTACCGTCTACTACCTTCAGTGCCAGCAAAGGCGTCTTATCACCAACAATTTTCTATAATTCAAAAATTGCCTAAATTAATTTATAAATCAACCTTTTAATCTCTACTGCCTTCCATCTCTACTGACTGATCCAAAAAAAACTAAATTTGAAACTCGTATACCCTTTTTTGATATTTGATTTATGGACAAACTTTTTTTTAAATAAAAATAATTAAAAGTTCTTCATAAGTTCTGGCTTAAAAAAAATCAGGAAGAAAAATATTTATAAAAGGGAATTTTTATCAGACAAGAATATCAGGCGGATGTGTTTGTTTACATGATAAAGATTCAAGATGGCGGCCTCACATGAAGCAGGAAAAGGTGTAAATAAGTAAGTAAGAGAGTAAATAAGTAAGTAAGAGAGTAAATAAGTAAGTAAGAGAGTAAATAAGTAAGTTTACTTAGGTACAGGCACACATAAGTACAGTTATAACACAGTGTGAATTATCCACCAGGATAACTCAAAAAGGTCAGACCAAGTGACTTTATTTCCACTGGGCTTCTTGTGGTGGGACTTTTTACAACATATATCTGTGTCAAAGGTTTTTCCTTTAACCTGGCTAAGGAATTTACAAGAGTGACGGTACCTTGAGTTACAGGAAGAGCTCGTAATTCTCTAGAATTAACCGGAGTCTGACGTCACAGCTGGGTTAGAGACCCCCAATGACTCGTGTCAGTCGTAGCTCAAAGAAACGACAGCGACTGGAAGAAACGTTGTTCTGGAACGTGTTTTTTTTCTCTACTGGGCGAAAAGTGTTGGGGTGGCTAACCTATACACCGGATGTGTTGATTGTTTATTTGGTTCATTATGGCTGCATGCTACCTATTGACCACCAGTCAAGAATATTTTAATCCTTAAGAGGAGGTATAATCTCTCAGTGTATATACCCTGAGAAAAATACCTCAGTGTTATACCTTGACTCTAAATAACCCAATACAACACTCATGTAACCCATACGGGTTTAATGCTGGTTTTAATATACTACTACTATTAGTACTACTACAACTATTACTACTACTACTACTATACCACTTCTGCTGCTGCTACTACTACTATTAATAATAATAACAGTAATAATAATAATAATAATAATAATAATAATAATAATATTATTATTATTATTATTATTATTATTATTATTATTATTATTATTATTATTATTATTATTATTATTATTATTATTATTATAATTGTTATAGAATGAGAGGTGAAGGGGGACTCTGGTAAGTTACCTTCGTCATGCTTCAAGAAAAGTCAATAACGTCAGAAAAGTCTCCTGGAAAGTCACCGGAAACTCACTGTGTTAGGGTACCAAGTCTTTATTGAAATCAGTAAAGCTTATTACTAAATAACTCACGAAATCGTAATGACACGACTGCAAACAAACCATACCACGGGCGGGATTGAACCCGCGGTCAGAGAGTCTCTGACCGCGGGTTCAATCCCTCCCGTGGTATGGTTTCTTATTACTAAATTACCGTGTCAGCTTATTAAAGGAAATGTTGGAGTTTCTAATGCAGCTTCAGTTACGAAGATAATTAAAATGTGTGTGAAAGTAGAAGAAATAATAGACGCTGCAATTGGGGTTTCTAATCCTCTCCCCAGGATGCCACCCACTACAGTCTTCTAGCATCCAGGTACCTAATGACTGTTAGGTCAACAGAAGCAACAGGAAATTAGTCACTCTGATTTTCTTTGGGTTATCTTGGTGGGTAATTTACACTATGTATGATACTTGTACTTATGTGTACCTGTGCCTAAATAAACTTACTAAACTGACTCACGAAATCGTAGTGACACGATTGCAAACAAACAATACCACGGGCGGGGCTCGAACCCGCGATCAGAGAGTCGTAAAACTCCAGACCGGCGCATTAGCCACTGGACCAACTGGCTACAATAAGATTCATCCAACTAGCTATACTGATACACCATAGGGAGGTTAGCATAGGCACCACTGTGACAACAAATGCATTTGTGGCCACAGCAGTAACAGCCTGGTTGGTCAGGTCCTGATCCACTTCGAGGCCTGGTCATAGACCGGGTCGCAGGGGCGTTGACCCCCGATACCCTCTCCAGGTATATTTTTGTTGAATATCGTGAGTATACCTGAGGCGTAGAGCTTAAGTCTTCACTGGCTGCCTCCGCCTCCTGTCGTAGACTGTTACTTTCTACGTTTATAATGTTTATAGGTCAAATTTGCAAGTTTACTGTATCCCATAACTGAAGAATGTTTCTCCTGATCGGCTTCAAACCTTAAAGATCAGTGTGTGCTGTGTTTAGAGAATATTTAGGAACTGTAACTGTCGGACAGCAGTATAGATGCAGTTTACCAGTTTAACTGGTAAACTGCATCTATACTGTTGACTTGATGACTTGTAGACGCCTCTCCTGCTTGACTCGTTATCTTTAGTTCTGGTATTTACCCGAATTAGAAACTTGTGCCGCACTCTGCACTGTTTCTTTAGCGTACGTTGAAATAGAGTGAGCTGGGGCATGTGACACACAGGATAACCTTCCATTAACCATCTCTACTAATAAAAAATACACGAAAAATAAGCATTGAAAGACAATTTTGAATAAAGGAAAGTGATAAAGAAATGACAATGTTGGTTACAAACTTTATTGGTCTTGTCAACACTGATCATAGATACGTTAATTATAGTAATTATACTCTTCATAATTATTATAATGTATGACATAGTGAGATTATCAACAATGATGTCATTAATTATGACATAATCAATAATTATATCATTAAAAGTTATTAGCGAATACTTATTATTTTTCTATGGATAACTGCATAAATAATTATAAATCATATTACGGTTTGGATTAATATATTACATAATCTGTATGAGTAAATAATTATTATAAATGTTAAGGAAATTATAATAGAAGTTTATTATATATATATATATATATATATATATATATATATATATATATATATATATATTATATATATATATATATATATATATATATATAATATATTATATATATATAATATATATATATATATATATATATATATAATATATATATATATAATGTATATCAGAGCATATACACTGAGAGAAACATATATATTTCAAGATATATACACTGTAGCTATTGGTAGGAAACAGGACAAGTGTTTCCTGACGTGGGTCTTAGCCATAGCCTGTGATTTGGTCATCTGACCGAGGCCTTCCGCTGGCTTACTCCTCCACCACTTTAAAAATTATAGTTATGATTATAATCACCAATTAAAAATTACTGTAATTTTTGCTTTCTTAACAAATTCTATAAACGAACCCGCCAGGGTACGAACTACTGACGAACCCGCCAGGGTACGAACTACTAACGAACCCGCCAGGGTGCGCACCTCAGCCTCCGGCTTCATTGCACCAGCCCTCGTGTGCCTTCTAATCTTCGCATCCTTCACCATACTTATCTTCACCACCGCTTATCACTTCCGCTTGCGGCGTCGCCGTTTAGAGGCACGTGGCAGTGCAGAGAGGGAGAGGGGCACACCATGGGCAGTGCCCAGCCCCAGTCGTGCTCCTCCTCCTCCCACTGACGATGCTCCACCTCCATACAGCTCCCTCACACCTCCTTCATACGAGCAAGCAACACAACTGGCGGCATCACTGGCATTAAACAGCAGAGTCAACACTGGTCAGACCAAGAGTGATGCCGCCAGTGTAGAGACGGCACCGCTGACACGGACCTCCCCAGACAGGTCATCAGGGTTGAGCTACGGGTCAGGACTTACCGTGACCTCCCCAGACAGGTCATCAGGGTTGAGCTACGGGTCAGGACTTACCGTGACCTCCCCAGACAGGTCATCAGGGTTGAGCTACGGGTCAGGACTTATCGTGACCTCCCCAGACAGGTCATCAGGACGTACTGTGACTTCTGCACTTTCACCTTCCAACAGTGACCTGACTTCACGATACTAGAAGTAATAAATCATACTTTTCTAGTTCCAAATACAGACTAAATTACTATTACACTCAACACCAAGTGCTAAACAACACAGACTAGAAGACCCAGAGTCTTACAGTGAATTTTTAATATCATATGATGCCGCCAGCTCTGGTGGCCTGGTGGTTAACGCTCTCGCTTCACACGGTGAGGGCCTGGGTTCGATTCCCAGCCAGAGTAGAAACATTGGACGTGTTTCTTTCCACCTGTTGTCTATGTTCCCCATCAGTAAAATGGGTACCTGGGTGTTAGTTGACTGGTGTGGGTCGCATCCTGGGACACTGACCTAAGGAGGCCTGGTCACAGACCGGGCCGCGGGGGCGTTGACCCCCGGAACTCTCTCCAGATAAACTCCAGATATACAATAATAATAATAATAATAATAATAATAATAATAATAATAAAAATAATAATAATAATAATAATAAAAATAATAATAATAATAATAATAATAATAATAATAATAATAATAATAAAAATAATAATAATAATAATAATAATAATAAAAAATAATAATAATAATAATAATAATAATAATAATAATAAAAATAATAATAATAATAATAATAATAATAATAATAATAATAAAAATAATAATAATAATAATAATAAAAATAATAATAATAATAATAATAATAATAATAATAATAATAATAAAAATAATAATAATAAAAATAATAATAATAATAATAATAATAATAATAATAATAATAATAATAAAAATAATAATAATAATAATAATAATAATAATAATAATAATAATAAAAATAATAATAATAATATACAGTGAAGAGAGATATGTCTTTATTTCTTATCATTTTTCCTCGTTATTCATATTTTTTAGAAAATGATAAGGATTTTTTATGGTGAGTTTAAAGTATATTATTATTATTATTATTATTATTATTATTATTATTATTATTATTATTATTATTATTATTATTATTCAGAGGAAGATGCTGGCGTGTAAGGCATTCATTAAAAAATTTTGATGGAAGACTCGAGATTATTAATACTAGAGTAACGGCACTCTGTGACCCCGTATGTCCATACTGGTTTAGTGCTGGTTTTGTATACAACAATAATGTTGAGGACTGGGAGAGACAGGTTCAGTGTCCTGGTCATGCAGACTACAAGATCAGAACTGGGAGAGACAGGTTCAGTGTCCTGGTCATGCAGACTTCAAGACCAGAACTGGGAGAGACAGGTTCAGTGTCCTGGTCATGCAGACTACAAGATCAGAACTGGGAGAGACAGGTTCAGTGTCCTGGTCATGCAGACTACAAGACCAGAACTGGGAGAGACAGGTTCAGTGTCCTGGTCATGCAGACTACAAGACCAGAACTGGGAGAGACAGGTTCAGTGTCCTGGTCATGCAGACTACAAGACCAGAACTGGGAGAGACAGGTTCAGTGTCCTGGTCATGCAGACTACAAGACCAGAACTGGGAGAGACAGGTTCAGTGTCCTGGTCATGCAGACTTCAAGATCAGAACTGGGAGAGACAGGTTCAGTGTCCTGGTCATGCAGACTACAAGATCAGAACTGGGAGAGACAGGTTCAGTGTCCTGGTCATGCAGACTACAAGGGACCAGAACTGGGAGAGACAGGTTCAGTGTCTGGTCATGCAGACTTCAAGATCAGAACGGGGAGAGACAAGGTTCAGTGTCCTGGTCATGCAGACTACAAGATCAGAACTGGGAGAGACAGGTTTCAGTGTCCTGGTCATGCAGACTTCAAGATCAGAATGGGAGAGACAGGTTCAGTGTCCTGGTCATGCAGACTACAAGTCAGAACTGGGAGAGACAGGTTCAGTGTCCTGGTCATGCAGACTTCAAGATCAGAACTGGGAGAGACAGGTTCAGTGTCCTGGTCATGCAGACTACAAGATCAGAACTGGGAGAGACAGGTTCAGTGTCCTGGTCATGCAGACTTCAAGATCAGAACTGGGAGAGACAGGTTCAGTGTCCTGGTCATGCAGACTTCAAGACCAGAACTGGGAGAGACAGGTTCAGTGTCCTGGTCATGCAGACTTCAAGACCAGAACTGGGAGAGACAGGTTCAGTGTCCTGGTCATGCAGACTACAAGACCAGAACTGGGAGAGACAGGTTCAGTGTCCTGGTCATGCAGACTACAAGACCAGAACTGGAGAGAAGGTTCAGTGTCCTGGTCATGCAGACTTCAAGACCAGAACTGGGAGAGACAGGTTCAGTGTCCTGGTCATGCAGACTACAAGACCAGAACTGGGAGAGACAGGTTCAGTGTCCTGGTCATGCAGACTACAAGACCTGAACTGGGAGAGACAGGTTCAGTGTCCTGGTCATGCAGACTACAAGACCAGAACTGGGAGAGACAGGTTTCAGTGTCCTGGTCATGCAGACTACAAGACCAGAACTGGGAGAGACAGGTTCAGTGTCCTGGTCATGCAGACTACAAGACCAGAACTGGGAGAGACAGGTTCAGTGTCCTGGTCATGCAGACTTCAAGACCAGAACTGGGAGAGACAGGTTCAGTGTCCTGGTCATGCAGACTACAAGACCAGAACTGGGAGAGACAGGTTCAGTGTCCTGGTCATGCAGACTACAAGACCAGAACTGGGAGAGACAGGTTCAGTGTCCTGGTCATGCAGACTACAAGACCAGAATTGGGAGAGACAGGTTCAGTGTCCTGGTCATGCAGACTACAAGACCAGGACTGGGAGAGACAGGTTCAGTGTCCTGGTCATGCAGACTACAAGACCTGAACTGGGAGAGACAGGTTCAGTGTCCTGGTCATGCAGGCTACAAGACCAGGACTGGGAGAGACAGGTTCAGTGTCCTGGTCATACAGACTACAAAACCAGGAACAAAGAGTTCACTCTAGTAACCACATTTAGGTGGCTTTATCCTCTGTGTATCATGCTAGATCTCCATCACTTTTCAAGATCTAGGGGTTTCCTCGTATATTATTTGTCCTCCTGAATTCTTGAGTAATTCGCCTTGCCAAGGAATTTCTCAAAGAGCAATTTAGGCTGTCACGTTACCGTGTAAATCATCCCGTAGATCTACGACCACTGACAAATTGTTTATCATGGGAAGCTTCCAGATTCCTTAGTGATTTACTACAACACTAGCTATGTTGGAGTGTAATGTTAAGGCTCCAGAAGTCAACATTCCAAGAGTTAAGAATGGAGTGTTATCATCTGGTCGTTCCTACAGCCTCTGTGATTTTGAAACTGTAGATTAGCTTCAAGGACTCGTCTTGGTGTTTATCAGTAAATTCTTGCAGTCATCCTCAGTCTCCGGGAACAGTCTTGTCTCTTGTCTGACCTCAACCAAAACCAGACATGACAATGGACCGAAACTTGTGCCCCGTTTCCAGTTTGGTAGCTGTGAATGTGGAAGGTTACTACAGAGACTCTGCGATGGTTTGTCTGTTGGTGAAAGCCAAGACTGGTGGAGCTGAAGCACTCTTCTGTTGCTCTCTGTGGGACGTCACCTGCAGTCCTCCGAGCTGTGAATGACTGACTCCAAGCTGCCCGTTTTCTAGCGTTTCGACTTCCTCCGTATTTCTTTTTCCCATGTGGAACAAAATCTTCATCTCATCCCTGAAACCATGGTTTAAGCCAGCCAGGAAGAATATGTGAATGGAATGCTCGAATATCTGAAGGCAATTACCAACAGCTCGTAGGATCTCTTGAGAAAGTCTGCCAGTGCAGCGGTCCTCTCTGTATTCGGCGTAGCCTGTGATGTATATGGTTATGGGAAGAACGAGCAAAATATAGGAGGCGGTGATGGAGATCATAGTAATGATGAGGGTCTTCTCCCCACTCCTACTGGATCCTTGAGTGGTGGTGGGAAAGTTGATGCGGCCTCGGACCACACCGACAATCAAACCAAGGTTGAACACCAAGAGAAAACAAGCCGGCACCCACCGGATGAACAAGGCGAACACACTCCTGTAGACAATGTGCCAAACCTCATTGAAGTGATTTTGATAACCAGTTTTGATCTTCCATTTGATGCACTTACCATCCTTTTCATCCGAGCACTCTACTTCAGCGATGATACAATACAATATATGGATAGAGAGGCACAGTAGAATCGTAATTCCCATTCTGTTGCGTAGGACATTCGGCTTCTGCTGTATTCTTGGATAGAGACTATACATCCAGACAGCAATAAAGCGATCTAGGGAGAGCCAGAGGATAGTGTAGGTGCCGATGATTTGAGTTATCCCCACCAGAGGCCAGCCGAAGTGAGAAAAGTAATAGGCTTCGCCATAGCTGGAGAATGTACATCCAGTGATGGTGGTAATGACAGGAATGTAGAACACACAGACCAGGAGGTCAGACACCGCCAGGATCAAGAAGTATCTGAAAAACACACAGACAGTAACGAGGCTGTTATTTTTATTTCACGAAGCGCTAAAATCTAGTGAGTTATTCAGCATAAGGAGTGATGGAGGCTCGACCCTCCTTCCCCTAATAGTCTACCATGAGTAATTTAGTGTGACATTTCTATGTAACTTCCACGAACTCAGCCAATAACATTCAGACTTCCCCTAACACAGCAATCTTTTTTCTTAGTCATTGAGACAAACATTATTTTTATAATTACCATGACCTTATGAAAAGTGATTTATACATATACAAATAAAAATGATCATTATGATTATAAATGAAGAAATTGGAGATGACTGAAACAACCTTCCACACAATGAAGAATAACCAGGGGCTTTCTGCACGCATAAATGTCACCCATCACTGCACAAACACTGCATCATCTGGAAATATCTTCGATTTTGACTTTAATAACAAGAAAGATGGCGGCTACAGCGGGCTGGTACTTATGCGTCCAGATTCAGTCCTCTCTTATCACCGATTTCACTGCTGCTGCTACCGGAAGGCCGTGATTCGTGCTTTCTTAGTAAGGAAGCCGGATCTTTCTCAAGATTCTCCTGAGGCAATAAGTAATTGTTGTAACACTGTACATAATGCAGGACATATATCTCTCACTGCTCACCTGTTGACTCTGGGAGACCTAAGTCGTGGCCTGCTAAGTACGACGACACAGATAACGTTGGCCACGATGCCGAAACTAACAAGGACTGGCAGAACTTGACGGTAGACAATCCAGTGGATGTCATCCACATCCTCCATGGCTACCAGCTGGCTTGCGTTCCCTCACATGTAAGATATTTCGTGCTATTCAGGTCATATATTAAGTTGCCACAACCTCCCTGATGATCCTCTCTCCCTCCTTGCTGCAGACTCTCACTCTACCTGCAACATAGTTATTGTAAAGAAAGGACCTTAGCTCGAGGGAACAATGTCTCAAAATTCCTGAAAGAATTGGGTACAAGTAGGTTTATTTAGACACAGGTACACATAAGGATAATTATTATACATAGGGTAAATTACCTACTAAAAGACCCCCCAAAAAAGTCAAGGTGACTTATTTCCATTGTGGTCCTTGTAAAATCTTATTATTTAAACCTTAAAGGTTAAAACAGCTAACTCAGCTATGTGAAAATCATTCACAACAAGAAGAGATATATTAGGAATAAGGAAAACATTAACATTACAGAGAGGATCAACTTACAAGGTGAATAACTCATAAGAGGGTAGTAAGTTTACTAATGTAACAGTGTTGTAGTGCGTGAGTGTCGTAGTTCACTGTTGTCTGAGCGTTGTAGTTCAGTGTTGTCTGAGTGTTGTAGTTCAGTGTTGTCTGAGTGTTGTAGTTCAGTGTTGTCTGAGTGTTGTAGTTCAGTGTTGTCTGAGTGTTGTAGTTCAGTGTTGTCTGAGTGTTGTAGTTCACTGTTGTCTGAGTGTTGTAGTTCAGTGTTGTCTGAGTGTTGTTAGTTTCATGTTGTCTGAAGGGGGTTTTAAAATTCAGTGGGTTTTCTGAGTGTTTTAGTTCAGTGTTTTCTTTAGTGTCGGAGTTCAGTGTTGTCTGAGTGGCGTTGTTCGTGTTTTCCTGAGGGTTTTGTTCCTGTTTTCTGAGTGTTGTAGTTTTTGTGTTGTCTGAGTTCGTATTTTTAGTGTTGCCTGGGTTGTATTTTAGTGTTGTCTGAGGTCGTTTGTTTTAGGTTGTTTGAGTTTTTGTAGGGCAAATGGTTTTGGGGTGTTTTAGTTCAGTGTTGTCCCGATGTTTTAGTTCCCGTTTGTCCCGAGGGTTAGTTCAGTGTTTTTCTGAGGTTTGTTGTTCGTGGTTTTTCCCGAAATGTTTTTAGTTCGTGTTTTCCTGAGTGCGTAGGTTTACTGTTGGGGGGAGTGTTTAGTTCAGTGTTTTCCGATGGCGTAGTTCATTTTTTTGCCTGAGGGTCGGAGTTCAGGTTGCCTGAGTGGTTTTTAGTTTATGTTTTCCCGAGTGTTTTTAGTTCAGGTTTTGCTGAGTGTCGTAGTTCATGGTTTTTCTGGTGGGCGTTGGGAGTGTTTTTTCTGAGTATTGTAGTTCAGTGTTGTCTGAGTGCGTTGTTCAGTGTTGTCTGGGTGTTGTTTTTCAGGTTTTCCCGATGTCGTATTTCAGGTTGGCCTGATGTCGTAGTTCAGGTTTCTGGGTTTTCGTAAATTCCGTGGGGTTTTAAATGTTGTAGTTCAGGGTTGGTTTTGGGTTTGGGTTTCATGTTCCTGATGTCCCTAGTTCAGGGGTTTTTTGAATGTTTTTAGTTTTAGGGGGGGCTGAGTGTCGTAGTTCAGGGTTTGTCTGGTGTCTAGGTTTTAGTGTGGGCCCGGTTTTCCAGTTCACTGTTTTCTGAGTGTTTTTAGTTAAAGTGTTGGGCTAAATGTCGGGGGTTTTAGTGTTTCCTTTAGTGGGCGAGTTCAGTGTTTTCTGAGTGTTGTAGTTTTATGTTTTTGAGTTTGTAGTTCCCGTGGTTTTCCTGAGTGTCGAGTTCAGTGTTGTCTGGGGTGTTGTTTGTTCGTGTTATCGAGTGTTTAGTTCCGTGTTGGCAAGTGTCGTAGTTCAGTGTTGCCTGAGTGTTGTAGTTCAGTTTGGCGGGGGTGTCGTATTTCAGTGTTTTTCCGAGTGGGTTGGGAGTTTCAGTGTTGTCTGAGGGTCGAGTTTTAGTGTTTTTCTGGGGTGTTTTTAGTATTTTTGTCTGAGTGTCGTTGTTCATGTTGTCTTTATTTTTAGTTCATGTTGTCGGGGTTTTGGAGTTCAGTGTTGCTGAGGGGGTTTTGTTTCAGTGGTTTTTTAAGTGTCTAGTTCATGTTGCCGGATGTTTTTAGTTCATGTTGCCTTAGGGGTTTTAGTTCGTGTTGCCTGGGGTTGTAGTTCACCCGTTGTCTGAGTTTTTTAGTTCAGTGTTTTCTGAGTGTCGTAGTTCAGTGGGCCTGAGTGTTGTAGTTATTGGTTTCCCGAGTGTCGTAGGTTTAGTGTTTTCCTGAGTGTTTTTGTTCAGTGTTGGGGCCGATGTGGATTTTTAGTGTTTGGGCCCGAGGGCCGTAGTTCGTGTTTTCCGAGTGTTTTAGTTCGGGGTTTTTTGAGTGTTGTAAATTCAGTGTTGTCCCGATGTTGTTTGTTCAGTGTTTCCCCAGTGTCTTTGTTCCCGTTTTTTGCCGGGGTGTCTAGTTCGTGTTGGCTGAGGTTGTAGTTCAATTTTTTTGCCTGAGTGTCGTTTGGGCAGTGTTGCCTGAGTGTCCCTAGTTCAGTGTTGCCTGGTTTTCGTAGTTCAGTGTTGCCTGATGTCGTTGTTTTATGTAGCCCGAGTGTCGAGTTCAGTGTTGCCTGAGTGTTGTAGTTCAGTGTTTTTTCCCGGTGTCGTAAATTCAGGGGGGGGGTTTTTTTCTGAAGGTTGTAGTTCAGGGTTTCCCAGTGTCGTTTCAGGGTTGCCTGATGTTTGGAGTTTTAAATTTTTTGGGCCCGGTGTTGTAGTTTTTGGGGTTTTCGGGGTGTCCCTAATTTTATGTTGCTTGGAATTTTTTGTAGTTTTAGGGTTTTCCTGAGTGTCGTTTGTTTTTGTGTTGCCCCCGAGTTCGTAGTTCAGTGGTTTTCTTAGGGGTCGTGGGTTAGTGTTTTCCTGGGGTCGTTGGGTTTAGTGTTGCCTGGTTTTTCGTAGTTTTGTGTTGCTTTAGTGTCGTAGTTCATTTTTGCCCGAGTGTTGGGAGTTCAGTGTTTCTGATGGCGTAGTTAGTGTTGTCTGAAATGTTGTAAATTTAGTGTTGTCTTGTTGGTGGGTTTGGGGGGGTTTAGGGGTTGGGCCCGAGTGTTGTAGGTTTGTGGGGTTCCCCCCGAGATTGTAGTTCAGTGTTCCTGGTGTTTTTATTCAGTTTTTTGTTGATTTTTGTAGTTCAGGGTTTTTAGGGTTGTTTGTTCGTGTTTTTCCCAGTGGTTTTAGTTCAGGTTGGGCCCGAGTGTTGTAGTTCGTGTTGTCTGAGGGGTTTTAGTTCCGTGGTTTCCTGAGTGTTGTAGTTCCGTGTTGGGTTTAGTGTTGTAGTTCGTGTTTTCTGAGTGTCATATTTTAATGTTGCCCGATGGCGTAGGTTTGTGTTGTTGAGTGGTTTTAAATTCAGGGTTGCCGGGGTGTTTTTGTTCAGTGTTTTCTTTAGTGTCGATTTAGTGTTGTGATGTTCCCTGATTTTTTAAAGTTGCCGGGGGGTGTTGTTTTGTGTTGGGTTTAGTGTTGTAGTTCAGTGTTGCCGAGTGTTGGAGTTTAGGTTGTCCGGGGTGTTGTGTTCAGTGTTGCCTGAGTGGCGTGGTTTTAAATGGGTTTCCTAGTTGGGCGTAGTTCGGGGTTTTTCCTGAGTGGCATGAAATTTAGGGGTTTTTCCCGAGTGTCATAGGTTTAGTGGTTTCCTGAATCAAGGTTCAGGTTTGGGCCCGGGGTTATTTGTTCAGTGTTGGGCCCGAGTGTCAAGGGTTTATGTTTTCCTGATTCGAGTTTCAGTGGGGCCCCGGTGTCCCTGGGTCGTGTTGCCTGGGGTGTCATAGTTCAGTGTTTTCCTAGTGTCGTAGTTCAGTGTTGCCTGAGTAACATAGTTCAGTGTTGCCCGGTGTCCCTAGTTCAGTGTTGCCCGATTTAAAATTCATTTTTTCCTTGGGGTATCATAGTTCAAATGTTGCGATTTTCATAGTTCATGGTTTCCCCGAATGCATAGGGTTCCCGTGTTGCCTGAAAGGGCTAGTTCAGTGTTTTCCCCGGGGTATAAAAGTTCAGGGGTTTCCTAGTGGTTTTTTCATGGTTTCCTGAGTGGCATGATTCAGTGTTTCCTGAGTGTCGGTTCGTGTTGCCTGAGGAAACAAGTTTCCCGTGTTGCCTGAGTGGGCAAGTTCCCGTGTTGCCTGAGTGTCAAGTTTCCGGGTTGCCGGGGTGTATATTCGTTTGTGGTTCAAGTTCGTGTTTTCCCGAGTGTATAGGGTTTAGGTTGCCTGAAATTTTCCCTAGTTCGGGGTGTGGGGGATGTTAACAGGCGGGGTAGGAAATAAAGTGCCGGGACTCTGGGGACGGGGCCCGTTTCTCTGGTACAGGGCCGGGACTCTGGACGTCCTGTTTCCCTGGTATCCCGGGCCGGTTTTTTGGTACGTGCCCGTTCTTGGTTTTCAGTGCCTGTACTCGGTTAAAATGCCTGTATCTGAAAAAAGTAGGTGGGAATGTTGCAGGTTTGGGAAAAGGGCACTGTTTTCCCGTGAAGTCAAAACGTTTTTTAAGTGTTCTCATGTCTTTTAAAAAACAGGGACAAAAAATTACACACACACACACACACCCCCAAAGCACACAAAACCACACAACCCCAAATACCAGGGAAAGTATCCCCAAACTTCAAGAAAGGAACAGAAAGGGGCATTAAACTGCGAGGGTAGTTACTTTTAATTATACGAAATCATGGGGAAGATTTTTCAGAGTGGGGGAGCAGGTGGAAACCTAAAAAAGAAAAAGCTTTTGTACCCAAAAAACCCCATGGTTCAAGGGGAAAAAAATTTTTTCCAACCCCAGTGGTTTTTGCAAGGTTTACGAAGACGGAGAAAGAGGGGGTGGGTTGACTGCATTTTCTTGGGGCGGGGAAAAGGGTTTCGGCACCCAAAACATTAAAGCTAAAACTAGAGGAAAAGGGGAGGAATAAAGGAAAGGGTCTTTAAGGGGCAGGGAATACTTGATCGAAAGCAAACAAAATGATGGGGAGTGACGAGTGTTTAGAAATGGGGGCATTGACCCAAAGGGGATCCAGAGGATAAATCCCAGGTCCGGGTGCAGTTTCTGGTTTTTTGTGAAAAGCCCTTCGGAGGTGTCCCCGTTTGCAGACGATTTAAGCTAAGGGGGAGGGAAATTTAAACGAACGAGAATCAGGCAGGGCTACAAAAAGGGGGCCCGGGAAAAGCTGCAAAACTGGGCCCAAAAAGTGACTCCTGGAGTTTAAAACCCACCAAGTGCAAAGTCTGAACTTGGTTTTAAGGGGCAAAAAAACCCCCAGACGGGGTACAGGGTAGGGGGGCCAGTTTCTGCAAAACCCCAATTTAAGGTAAAGGGTCCCTTTGGGGGGAAAATTTATAAACCGGGCCAAATCTCCTTTAGGCCCCACATAACCAAATAACTTTCCCCATTATTGGGGGCCTGGCAAACCTAAAAAATACCGGGTTTCGGGCACCTGAATTTAAGGGGGATTAAAAACACTGTTTCACCAGGGGGTCTTTCCCATAATGGTGTATACGCACCCGTTTGGGAAACCCCCAAACCCGGTCCCAAAAGCGTCAAGAAATTAAAAAAAAAGGGCTAGTTCCGGAGCTAAGGGGGGTTTTCCTACGAGGAGAGGTTAAGGGATTTTTAAAACCCGACGAACGGAGGACAATTTATGGTTTTAACCATCAAATCAAGGGTGAGGGACTTTTACCCCAAACCCATTTTTTTCTACCATTCACCTTGCACTGGAGGGAAGAAGCCATTTATTGGTTAAGATAAGATAAGATAAGATAAGATTTCGTTCGGATTTTTAACCCTGGAGGGTTAGCCACCCAGGATAACCCAAGAAAGTCAGTGCGTCATCGAGGACTGTCTAACTTATTTCCATTGGGGTCCTTAATCTTGTCCCCCAGGATGCGACCCACACCAGTCGACTAACACCCAGGTACCTATTTGCTGCTAGGTGAACAGGACAACAGGTGTAAGGAAACGTGTCGAAATGTTTCCACCCGCCGGGAATCGAACCCGGGCCCTCCGTGTGTGAAGCGGGAGCTTTAGCCACCAGGCCACCGGGCCACCCACAAACGTTTCTAAAATTAAAATACCCAAATGCTGCACAAGTGTCTAATTCATCAGTTTACGATTCTGTTTACCTTCCTAAGGTGTTATATCCCGCTTGTTACTGGCATATTTCCCTTCTAATTTGGAAGCTTGGTCTGAGACGCCTCGCAAGGACCATGACCCAGTGAATCATTAATGGATATGCAGAAATATATACAGGTAAACATATATACAGAGATATACAGGGTAACAGATAGATACAGGTTACTAACATGTATAAGAAATCATTATCATTACCTATCATGTTCAGTGTTCTGTTTTCAGTGTTGTGTTTCACTAATATGGTCCATCTTAACACGCCTCTTATTACTACAGTCATTACAAACTAAAATAACCACTTGAAACGTTTTAAAACTTACGTTACTCATCTTCTTGGTGTAGCTGTCTTTTTATCCAGGTAGGTGATGCCCTGACTGTGTGCAGGATACAAGTGTCACCTTGAGAGAAGGTCCAGGTGATGCCCTGACTGTGTGCAGGATACAAGTGTCACCTTGAGAGAAGGTCCAGGTGTTGCCTTCACTGTGTGCGGGATACAAGTGTCACCTTGAGAGAAGGTCCAGGTGTTGCCTTCACTGTGTGCGGGATACAAGTGTCACCTTGAGAGAAGGTCCAGGTGTTGCCTTCATGTGTGGGGGGATACAAGTGTCACCCTTTAGAGAAGGTCCAGGTGTTGCCTTCACTGTGTGCGGGATACAAGTGTCACCTTGAGAGAAGGTCCAGGTGTTGCCGTCACTGTATGCAGGATACAAGTGTCACCTTGAGAGAAGGTCCAGATGTTGCCTTCAATGTGTACAGGATACAAGTGCCACCTTGATAGGACGTCGAGTCTGATGGCACCAGTGTCTTCTCTCACAGACACCCGTGTCTTCTTACTCTGGTACCAGCACTCACACTGGCGCCATCACTCACACTAGCACCAGCACTCACACTGGCACCATCACTCACACTAAGAAACAAATCTTCAACTTCCACTCACTGTGTCTCAGTGGCTCACTTCGCTGCGTCAAGCTATGTTTCTATTTCTATATTTCCCGTCATGTATTTCTATCACTCTTCCTTTCACTGTCTCTTGATCTAATACATCTTTTGTTCAACAATGATACATGCACCAGGATGCCAAGTGACGTAAGGTGTACATTTTCAGGATTTCCCCTAGTGTCAGTGGACTGGTGTGGGTCGCATCCTGGGACAAAAATTGATTTAATTTGCCCGAAATGCTCAGCATAACAAGCGGCTTTCTATATGGTAGTATGTCATTGATCTCAGCTATGGTCTGTATACCTTGTACATGTACTTGTAGAAATAAATACATTATTATTATTATTATTCCCAAGAAACTCACTGCCTGGGATCTTCAAGGTAGGTGCCTTGATGCTGGTGGAGGGCTCTTGATCAGAGGAATTAGAACTGTCCCTTCCCATTCCTCGGGTCAAACCTGATTACCTTCCACTCTGCAAGTGTTCAGTGACCCCTGCAGGTTTAGCACTTCCCCATGAATTTAATAATAATAATAATAATAATAATAATAATAATAATAATAATAATAATAATAATAATAATAATAATAATAATAATAATAATAATAATAATAATCCATTAAAGATACTTTTTATTACTTGAAATACACTGAGGATTCATCATTGGTTTTACTGTTTGTTCTGACAATTGAGGTAAGTGAACATATATGCAACTTATATATTGTTTTGTTGGTAGAGAACTTTATGAAGCCTTGATTTTTATAACAGGACAAAACAGTGAGCATATAAAAGGTGAGTCACTAAAAGGGTTTGTGCAAACTCCGTGTGGGTGTTGGTGCAAACTCCGTGTGGGTGTTGGTGCAAACTCCGTGTGGGTGTTGGTGCAAACTCCGTGTGGGTGTTGTCTGGCCCCGGATAGAGTTAATAGTTCATATGAATATGGGGTAGAACGTGCATAATTCCCAAGATATTTCTTTTATGGATTGGTTGAGTGAGATCTCTGACAGAAGAGATGCTCAGCTTCCACAACGAAGGCGTGTGGACTTACATCAGTCCACATGCAGTTAGATAATCTCACTCCCACCGGCAGTTTTCGCTAAATATTTGGATGGGAGTTATATATGTTCACTGGCCCACACATTCTTCCACACGTCTGTTGGGGCTTCTTTTACGAAGATCTACCACACCTGCAGCAGCATCTTGAGCTCTTGATGCAGCGAAGTCTTCAACGCTTGCCTAAACTATAAGCATGACCAAATTCCATCAGTGGAATTTTCCACCAGTGAGGCCGCCTCCAACTGCTTCATCTCACCTGTCTGCAGTACATAAGCCCCTTCTCCCATATATGTACTTGGAAGGAACACATCATCTCCAGGCCGAGGATCTCACTTTCAAAGATAATAATGATATAATAATAGTAACAGCTTGGTTGATCAGGCCCTGATCCACCATGAGGCCTGGTCACAGACCGAGCCGCGGGGGCGTTGACCCCCAGAACTCTCTCCAGGTAAACTCCAGGTAATACAACAATGTCATTCTGACATCTGCTAGGAAAATGATAGGATGGGTAATGAGAACCAATGATGATCCTATTTAATAAAATCATTTGTTTTCTGTAGGCTGTAACACCTGTTTTACACTAACAGCCCCTTCAAGGGAGGCGAAATTGCAGATCTGGAGAATATAGAGTATTATGATTATTTTATCTCTTATCCTGGGCAGTGGAGTGGTTGATCGTGCGGCTTCCCTGACACACCCTCCCGACCATCATACCCCCATCCTTACAAAGAATATGTGGCCGATCATCTGCACCGTCTTCGAATATCGGACTCCCCGACTCCCCATATTGTCTGTGGTGTCCATCTCCGCCTGAGAGAGTGGAAACACTTCCTGTTGTTGTGCCCACGTTACCACTGCGCAGACTCTCCTCTGTGCGGCCTTGAGCCCATTTAGGGTACAGCTCTTCACCCTACCACTCCTACACAATTGGGAGGGGGTTTGACCCTCTAGATCGCCAGGAGTTTCTGGCCCATACTTGCGCCTTCCTGCGGGCCTCGAAGAGCGACGGGGACATAATGCGTATCCCCGTTAGTCTTGTTCCTCCACTGTGGTCAAGAGTTCTTCTCCGGACACCCAAAGGCAGGGCTCGATCGATATGGTTTAAAGCCTTAAACTATCGCTGCCCCAGAAAACGCTATTTATTTATTTATTTATTTTATGTCTTTGCAAACAGTACATTGAGATTTTATATTTACAATAGTGGGATGCAATGCAAAGAGAACCTCTATTATGCCTTGGAATTATAGGCCAACTTAACATTATTGGCTTACAGACTACTTAACACTAAGGATTATATCATAGTTGTACAGTAGGACAGTAATTATTTCATAGTTGTACAGTAGATTATTAATTATTTATTTTATTTATTTATTTAGAAATTTTAGCATACAAACAGAGGTACAAAAAATACAGGTAAGAGCAGCATGCCAAAGCCACTTATATGCATAGCATTACGGGCTGGCTTAAAATTAACTTAAGATTAACTAAGCAATGATGAAATCAGTGATAAGACATTATTGTAAACAGATAACTATAAAATACAAATGAGTATTACAAAGACAGGTCATATGGTTGCATGCATTGCTGTTCATTCAGTAGAATGGAGTATTCTGTTAGGTAGTGTATTTAAAAAAATAACAAAGTTAGGTTTAACATTTGTGTGATATAATTGTGAGTAACATTTAGGATAACAATTTATATGGTTCAGTTATTCAGTATTTATTTGGTTTTGAGTGAGTAAGTGAACTTTGAGAAGAGACTTGAATTTATAACAGGTAGTGTTTCTTTTATATTACAGTAATGAATTCCAGATTTTAGGGCCTTTTATGTGCATTGAGTTTTTGCATAGCGTGAGATGGACACGAGGAACATCAAAGAGTGATCTGTGCCTTGTGTTATGGTCATGTGTTCTGTTGAGGTTGGCAAGGAGATGTTTGAGGGGAGGGTTAATATCAGAGTTAAGTGTCTATGTATGTAATAAGTGCAATAATAAGTATGGATGTTTGTATGGTGAGTAGGTTGAGTGTTTTGAATATTGGTGGAGTGTGCTGCCTGTAGCGAGAATTTGTTATCATTCTAACTACAGCCTTTTGTTGGGTAATTAGTGGTCTGAGATGGTTAGTTGTTGTTGAGCCCCATGCACAAATTCCATAGGTGAGATAGGGGTAAATAAGAGAGTGATAAAGGGCCAGGAGGGCTGACTGTGGAGCATAGTACCGTATCTTCGATAGTATGCCTATAGTCTTGGAAATTTTCTTAGAAATTTGTTGTATATGTGCATGAAATTTGAGTCTATTATCGAGGTGGATTCCTAAGAATTTTCCCTCTGTTAGCTTTGTGATAGGTGATCCGTTTATCGTTATGTTAAGAGGTACATCTGTAGCTCTGCTACCAAACTGAATGAAGTAGGTTTTGTCAATGTTTAGTGTAAGTTTGTTAGTCCTCATCCAGGTAGATATTTTCTGTAATTCGGTATTTACAGTATTGGCTAGCGTGACTGGGCTCGGGTGAGAGAAGACGTATGTGGTGTCATCTGCAAAAAGTGTGGGTTTGAGTAATTGCGAAGCATTTGGTAGGTCATTTATGTATAGGAGAAAGAGAAGAGGGCCAAGGACACTTCCCTGTGGGACACCAACTGTAATTGGTTGTGCGGAAGAGCTTGCCCCACTTGCGTACACATATTGGCTTCTGTTGCCGAGGTAAGACTTGAGGTAGTTGAGGGAGTGCCCTCTAATACCATAGTGTAACAATTTTACGTGGAGCAAGTCATGGTCAACTGTATCAAAAGCTTTACGTAAGTCAATGAAGATCCCCAGTGGGACTTCTTTTTTCTCTATTGCAGTGTATATATGTTCTAGCATGTGTATAATAGCATCATTAGTATTTTTATTAGGCCTGAATCCAAATTGGCAGGGGTTGAGAATGTTATGGGAGATGAGGTAGGAGTGGATTCGTTTATGAATTAATTTTTCGAAGATTTTTGAGAGAGGGTGTAAATTGGATATTGGCCTATAGTTATTCAACTCTGTTTGGTCTCCTCCTTTATGGATCGGGGTGACCCTTGCTATTTTGAGAACTGTAGGGAAGGTGGAGGATTCAATGGATTTGTTAAAGTGTTATAAGTGAATTAAATTTGTATAAGACAAAGGATATATTCATATAGTCTAAAATGCTTTTTGTGAAAACAATGGTTCAATTATATTCCTGTTAACAATGGATAAAATGTTCAAAGTGATTGTTGAAGTTATGATGTGGGAGTACATAGGTGAGTAAGTGTGTACTGAGTATTTAGCGCTGAGTCTAGGGTGATTAAGTTGTTTTGGAGAAGAGTCTTAAACTGATTTTCAGACTGGGTTACTTTAATATCTTCTGGTAATGAATTCCATATTTTAGGGCCCTTTATGTGCATAGAGTTTTTACACAGTGTGATATGGACACGAGGTAACAAGAAGAGTTAGAACCTTTTGATAGTCAGGATATTATGGCCTATATCAGCATCTTCCTGCGGGCCTCGCATGAGCCAGTAGGCCTTCTACAGTGTTCCTCCATTCTTATGTTCTTATGACATTCCTCAGGTCACGTG